AAAAAAAAAAAAAAAAACCATCCTGAGTGGAACTGTTCCTCCTGGAGAAAAGGGTTTTGGAGCAGTTTGGACTACATGACTCCAAACTGGGGCTGGAGTAACTCTTCAAAATTACAAGAAGTAATTTATTCAAGAGTAATACTCTTGAATAATTACTGTATTATTCAAGAGTAATTTGAGGTTACTCTTCAAATTTCAGATTGGAAAGTGTTTTTTTAACCTACTATGTCTTCTTCTGCAGTTTGATGATATTTGGCCTACCCCCTGTCCTAGAGCCAGAGAGGACAATGGTGAGTCTGGAGGGAGGGGACATTTACCAGTTATTTATTATATTATTTTCCTGAAGTTCTGTCCCCCAGAAATTTCTTCCTGCCACACTTATCTCCTTTTCCCCTTGGGTCCTTTCTCTCTTGGTTCCTTATTTCCCTGCCCTTCCAGATCTTGATTCCCAGGTCTCCCAGGAGGGTCTTGGCCCGGTTCTACAGCCCCAGCCCAAATCCTATTTCAAGAGCATCTCTGTGACCAAGATCACTAAGCCAGATGGGGTGAGTTTGAGAGAGAGGGATAAAGGAGACGGGAAAGAAGGGTCTATATAAAGAAAGAAAGAACTGAACAGCCAGGTGCGGTGGCTCACACCTGTAATCCCAGCACTCTGGGAGGTTAGGCAGATGGATTACTTGAGCTCAGGAGTTTAAGACCAGCCTGAGCAAGAACGAGAACCCATCTCTACTGAAAATAGAAATTAGCCAGGTGTGGTGGTGGGTACAGTGGTGGGTGCCTATAGACCCAGCTACTTGGGAGGCTGTCAGGAGGATCACTTTAGCCCAAGAATTTGAGGTTACTGTGAGCTGTAGTGCCATGGCACTCTACCTAGAATAAGACTGGCAACAGTGAGCAGCGCCTATGGCTCAGTGGGTAGGGCACCAGCCCCATATACCGAGGGTGGCAGGTTCAAACCCAGCCCCGGCCAGATTGCAACAATAACAACAAAAAAATAGCCAGGTATTGTGGCAGGCGCCT